CTTTTTTAAATATGGGTGAAACACTACACTTTATAAATAGTACAAAAATCTAATATTTTAATTTTCCGATTAATTTATTTGAATTACACAGGAAATAAAGAAAGGATATCATGATTATTATTATTAAATTAAGTTCTTATCTAGCAAGAAAATTTAAATTTTTGGTGCATGTAACAATTGTAATATAATTTAAATTAATCTATTATTATTATTGATTGTGTAAACTGAATGAAATTAACCAATTACAATTTTGATATTTATATTATTTATTATTACATCAGAATCATTGAAATATTTTTATTTTTCAGATTAAATAATTAATTGATATTATAATGAATTTCTCCCATTGCTGTCTGTACCTTGAAGCACGATTATTCAGAGGCGTCTTATATATTTATTATACATACTATATACACTTAATTAATAATTTAAATTATTAAATGTGTCAAATTTTATTATTATGTGGTGCATAAAAAAAATTTTCAATTAATTTACATTATTTAAAAATATCTTCATTATTTTAATTACTTGCGCAATTATATTATTACTCTACTCTAGGATTACATGGTTTAGGCTAATTTTCCTCGATGAATGTACATATTATTTAATTGAACGGTATTTATTACATTATATATAATATAATATAATAAATGAAATTAACCAATTACAATTTTGATATTTATATTATTTATTATTACATCAGAATCATTGAAATATTTATATTTTTCAGACTAAATAATTAATTGATATTGTAATGAATTTCTCCCATTGCTGTCTGTACCTTGAAGCGCGATTATTCAGAGGAGTCTTATATATTTATTATACATACTATATACATTCAATTAATAATTTAAATTATTAAATGTGTCAAATTTTATTATTATGTGGTGCATTAAAAAAATTTTCCAATTAATTTACATTATTTAAAAATATCTTTGTTACTTTAATTACTTGCGTAATTATATTATTACTCTACTCTAGGATTACATGGTTTAGTCTAATTTTCCTAGATGAGTGCACATATTATTTAATCGAACGGTATTTATTATATTATATATAATATATATAATAATACAATTAAAAAAATATATATAAAAGGAGATAAAATTCCTTTTCAGAAAAATCAGAAAAGTCATCGTAATAAAACAACAATTTTACATAATCAAGAAATTTGAATTTTTTTAAAATGTCTCAACTTTCGCCAGAAGATAAATCATCCAATTCAGAAAATGAGGTCAATTCAGAAAGTGAAAGTGGTTCATTTTCTGAATTAGATCAAAGGTTTAGTTCTAAGGTCTCTCGGAAAAGAACCAAACATAGATATTTCCCATATATAATTCCATTGGAATATTCTCCAAAATATTCTCCAACCTTAGAAAATATTACGATAGCAGGTCCGTCAGATGTACAAACTACAACAACGGCAGGTCCGACTGATGTACTACAAACTACGATGGCAGGTCTGTCTGATGTACAAACTACGACGACAGCAGGTCCGACTGATGTACTACAAACTACGATGGCAGGTCCGTCTGATGTACAAACTACGACGACGGCAGGTCCGTCTGAAATTATATCACCGAGGAAAAGAAAGGACGAAGAGTCCACTAAAAGCAAAGAAGCAAAAAAGGCCAAATTAACCCCGGCAGACAACCCGAAAGAAAAAGGTAAAAAGTATATACTATTATTATATATATTATTATTTTAAAAGTCGAGAACTATCTCACATTATATAAATTTATTATTAATTTTTTTTATTCATCAGACACAATCAAAATTCTTTCAGAAGATCATTACGAAGTCCAACAGTTCTTAGAAACGATTCCCGCTAATGCTTTGAAAGACGGATTAGTTGCTCTAAAGAGCATGAATGGCGGAAATTGTAAACAACTTATCTTAGATATAGATAAGCAAAAATTAACTGCCGTTCTTCCGTCAGGATCTCTTAACATAAAACCGACATTTTACATGTCCGAGAAAAATTTTATAGAAATGGAACAGGAGAGATTTGAGAACAATCCCTATATACTTAAGCGATTACCTGCTTATTCAGACAATAGCAACAATAATACAACAATAGGGATCGAACTTTTATATAAAGAAAAGATAACTGGTGAAAATCTTAAGGAAGATACATTAGCCGTTGTATGGTTAATACATCATTTAAAGACGGTCCAAGATCGTTTACCTTATAACCCCCCAATTATGCAGCCCAATTATAACAGTAAAAAATATGTACAAAACCTCTAAGAATACTTTGACAATTATTTAAATAAAGGAATGGAATTTGATGGTTCCAAAATAAATGGAGCTATTCCTCTTGTGAGAAATATTGATGATGATAATAATCTTAATTTAAGAATTAATTCCATTCCTGACAAAATAGACGTTGGCAATATGTCTTCGTTGATAGAAGACATGCTTGTAGTCTTAGACTAAATCTAATCAGAAAATGAGATAACCGAATTGACAAGACGGCGAAATGCAAGAAGATACGCGTATTTTTACGAATTATATAAGATGATATTAGAAACAGTCGCTTCAGAGCCAAAAAAATTTGGCGAAACAAATGCATTAAAAGTTAAGAAAAAACTTGAGGGGGAGATGAAAGAAACAGAAGAAGAAACTGAATTAGAAAAGTTTCTAAAAAAAGCTGAAGAAAAACTAACGCAAAGACAATGGAGAAGTTACAAAACTTCAGCCGAAAGAATAAATAGGTTGTGGAATACATGCAATAAAAGTTTTGCGATTTTCGATTTGATAACTGTTCTCACACCTAATTTATTTGAACGACTACCAAGTAAAGAAAGTGCGGAACGGTGGTTTACAATAATCGAAAAAGGAATCTATTATACTCATCAGGAGTATAAGGATATCCAAAAGCAGCAGGAGGAGGAGAAGGAAGTTATTGATGACAGTAGTAGTAGCGACAGTAGTAGTAGCGACAGTAGTAGCAGCAGCAGTAGTAGTAATAATAATATTGGAAGTGGAAGTAGAAGGAGACGGGGACTAGGAAGGGAAAGAGGACGAGGAAGGGAAAGAGGACGAGGAACGAGAATGGGAAGAGGAACGGGAACGGGAACGGGAAGAGGAAGAGGGAATAAAGCTGGTAGTAGTAGTGATAAAGGAAAGGAAAAAGTAGTCTAAGGAAATAAATATCTTTCATTATTATTATAACAAAATGTGTATATTTTTTATTTTCCATCTTTTAGTTCTATAAATAATAATATAATACAATATAATAAATAAATCGTTATTTACTATTCACAAAACACATGTTATAAATTTTATTTACTACTAAAGAGTTTATAAAATAGCCGTGAGTTTGATGTACCTCACAGTATTTTTCTTAATAAATTATAGCAACTTTTTTTATTTATTAAATAGGATTTTAAAATGTAACTAACGGTTTAAAAATTTATATACGTACGATTCGATCGTAAATAGTGAGTTAAAACTATTAACACTTTTAATAATAATAAATAAATGCTTAATAAAGTACAGTATATATCCGTATCCGTAATTTGCCAGATTTTCCGGATGACAGATGAGAAGGATGAAACTACCACCATATATATAATAATTATTACGTTTATAATACAGTCAGCTCGCGTTATAACGAATTTTGATTTAACGAATTATTGTGGTACAGATTTTATTGTCCGAAGCGAAGCGAAGGACTATATATGTTATGTCAAAGATATCCGGAAATTTCGTGCTACATCAGATTAAATAAATTTGTGATACATCAGATAAACAAGATAAAGGTTTATTTATAACCTTTTTTTGCATTCAAATTTAATTAACAATTTGCGTACACTTTCTAATGTAACACAATTATAAAACGATCACGTGTTAGCGCATATAGAATAGGATCGACATTTATTTATACATGCAAATTGTTTAAATGCCTTTTTTTTCCTAGTCATATGAATATTTACTATTTAAATGCTGTAACGAAATAAACTGTATAAATTATTTTTTACTTGTGGAGAAAAATATCCATATTTTTTATCACAGTGTATGAGACTCACGTAAGTACATTTTTTTCCACAGTTTTAATAT